AGTCTCCTCATTCAGCACCATCATAACTTCGAATGGTCGCTGAACAAGTGGTTGTTAAATGAGGACTACCTGTATGGCAAACATTTGCCTAAAAAACATGAACTTCAGGTAAAAAGGCCATGGTTTTATATCATTTCATTTTTTCCCAATATTCTTATAGGAACCTCTGGTTTTAACAACAATATTATCCTTGTTTGTCAAGCTTCATAATATTCATGTAAGTGCAGCATTCTCTTTATCATAAATCACTCACTTTGCTTTCTGAATTTTCTGAATTATTTTTATCTATTTTGTCTGTATGTGTATCTATATAATATATTTTCTTTTTTTAGGAACTCATTGTAAATAATATCACAGCAGAATATATTTCCATTTGGCCATCATCTATTCCTAAGTAAGGAATTTGTTTTTCCAACTTCATTTATAAATAAAAATATAAATGAATTTTTGTTTCTTCAGATCTGTGCAGGTTGTTTTTTAGCTCAGAGCCCCTTGGAAACCTCTGTTGGCCACCTTCCATCCAGCATTATGTTTGATGTTGAAAACATGATTAAGCAGAATTTCACCCTCAAAACAGCCTTTTTGAGTGCTCCAAGCTCAAAACAAAATATGTGGATTCCAAAAGTCTTGTTTTGAGATTAGACCAAACCTGCTGTTTTGTTTTGATTTCAGAACAAAACTTACCTGGTTCAAGGCAGGATTGTTCCCCTCTTAAGAAAAAACCTTGAAATTGGCTGTTTCAACCTCTCTGTATTCCAGGAATTTTGTTTTGTTCTCCTGGACACAACTATCTTGGAATATTACACTGAAACATACTGTTTTGTTTTAAGATCAAAATAAAACACCTTGCTGGTTTCATGTAAACCTCAAGCTGAAAATAGTGGAAGTATTCAAAGGTCTGCAGGCTCTTAAATTGTTCCCACACAATGAAATTTTGGGGAGCTGTCTGTGTATAGTAATGGAGAGGTAGAATTTTGCCTGTATAGAACTCTGGCCTTTACTTCTAACATCAGCGCGGGGTGGAGAAGTATATAGAACTATTTGAATAATACTTTATTGAAGCAGATTTTAACTACATCATAATTTTAAATACAATGACTAATATTATGTTTTCTCATTTCAGTTTACAGTCAGTGGATTTTGAAGCTGTAGCTGTTACTGTCAAAGAGCTAGTCAATTATGCACTCACTATAAATTCAAACAATCATTTCTGGTTAATCATTCAGGCAGACATTTATTTTGGTAAGTAGAATTAAACCTGTTTCTGTCACTTTAGTTAGGAGGGAGGGAGGAAGGAAAAGAAAAACTGTGGATGGATGGCCATCTCTACTGTAGCGACTCTGGATGGATAATGGCAGTTAAAAACAAAAGCAACGACAAAATAAAGTACGTAACTGGCAGCCAAGGTTAAAAAAAACCCAGTTGGATAAGTTAAAATAATCATCTCACAGATTGTAACTGGCAATCCAACCCCCCATGCCCAGGAACACAACCACGTTTTCAGAGCCTTGCGAAAGGCCTGCAAGACAGGGGCCAGTGTGATCTCTGGGGGAGATGACATTCCAGAGGGTGGGCGCCAGGACATTTCGTTGCAAGGACTGCCATTTGGAGGCTGGGGCTGAGAACTTCATTTCTCTGTTTTTTCTCTTTTGTGAACATATTTTGCCCTAATTTGATTAATCTGTCCTATTTAAACATTATTATGTAGAGGGGACAGTGTAGGAATTGAACTAACTTGAAAGACACTGGCCTAATTCACAACAAAGGTTAAGTTATTATATGACGTAACTTGGGGTTAGCATGGTAAGCCGTATCATTATGCATGAATCAGGCCACGATGATTTAACAAATCTTGATTTTAAAAGTCTTAACTTAGTGTTACATGTGAATATGGCCACTGAATGAAATTAGCATTAACTATTTTTGCTTCTGTATCTTCAATGTAGCAACTAATCAGTACTCTGCTGCACTTCACTACTATCTTCAGGCAGGAGCAGTGTGCTCAGATTTCTTTACTAAGATGGTACCCCCTGATGTATACACTGATCAGGTGAGTGATGAGGTTATATAGTAGTATACAAGGAATTGCATACATACATACAGGCCTCTGATGATCTGGGCTGCTCTATAATACAAGCTTAGTATTATAGTGGACCCATTGGTTAAAGTTCCGCATTCTAAACTGGAACATTTTGAATTCCTTATTTTATCTGACATTTTTATCATCTATCCTAGTGCTATGAACTTAGAATAAAGTGCATTGATTATTTGGAATTGCTTACTCATTACTCATTCAATGGCATTTCCCCATGTATACCCAAATTACATGGTCATACAACACAATACACATACATACATATATACATACAACAGCTCCTAGCAATACTTTTTTCCCCCATGATTTTTCCAATCTTCAACTCACCCTCAGCCCATGCATGAGACAGCCTTAAATCATCTTAGTTGTACTGGTGCTATAATAGCAGTTTCACCTTACTTGACAGCAACTGAGCAGGTTCAGGGTGCATCAAATCTGATGTGCTTTGGTGCCCATGCTGTTGGTAGCACAATCAGGTGACCAGTGGAGAACAAGATCTGCCCAGTGTCTATTGGCTATTTTGTGCTAGTATAGGTATGTCCTCTCCTCTCTAGGGTTACGTCTGACCTGCAGAGAAGTACTTGTTATAGGAATGTTCTACAGGACAGTCATTTCTCTTTCAACATGCACTTGAATGTATTCCAGGCCTTGTATTCTGATATTCCAGGATACACCCAGCAAGTATTGGAAATTAAGTAGAAGGCTTAATATTTAGCAACCTGGCACTGTACAGTATATCTTTCTGTGGTCTTTACCCTTTTAGTCCCAGTAATACTAGATAATTAAACTCTCATTTCAGATGTGATGCAGAGGATGCTTTGAGGGTTTTGGCAGCTCCAGAAGCCAAGTAATCTAATTCTAACCAAAATAGAAGCCTAGATAATAATGAAACAATTTATAGCAAGCAAAGTCAATGGAACATTGGTAGAAGTATTTGCTCTCTGAGGGTTTGTTTTGCTTATGCTATTAATAGTGAAGCAGAAAAAAATGTTAGAAGGTAATTCATACCTTCATATGAATTACAGTGGTACCTCGGTTCATGAACTTAATTCGTTCCGTGACTCTGGTCACGAACCGAATTGGTTGTGAACCGAATCAAATTTTCCCATAAGGTTCAATGTAATTACGGTTAATCCGTTCTGAACCATGTTTTTTTTTTTT